AGGGCGGCATGGATCACCACACTCGCGCGTGCGCGTGGGGGAGCGAAGGGCGCGGGAGCGGACCGGGCCAGAGGTGGACGGCGTGGAGTACTACAAGGGTCTTCAACCGGGCGCGCGTGCCGGGGGCGGGGGAGGCGGGACGGCGAGCGGGCTTCAACCGGGCGCGCGTGTTGGGGGGCGGGGGAGGCGCGACGGCGAGCGGGCGCTAACTGGGTTGCTCAGAGACGGTGACGGACGTGGTGTGCCGGGTAGCAGCGGAGGCAGGCGTTGACGCCGTGGTGGGCGAGTGCGGCGGGTGGGACGGGCGTGCGCGCGAGATCGCGGACGCGGTGTGCATGCAGCTCCACGCGAAGCAGTTCCAAGCGACGGCGGGAGACTCTGCTGGACCGGCAGGCGGGCGAAGCGCGCGAGGTGGCGAGCTGCGTGGAGCTTCTGCGCAACATGAGCGGGCAGCACGCGGCGAAGAGCGCCGTGCGCGGCGAGATGTGGCGGGCGACGTGCGTGGTGGGTGGCAGTGGCGGGGCGGACGGACGCGGGCGTGGAAGAGACGTTCTGCGGGCTGGTGGGCGAGGTGTGCCTGCGGCGTGGGGACGTGGTGGACGGGTGCGCTTGGGAAGGGGCGGTCGAGGTAGTGGTGAGAGCGGTGGCGCGGAGGGCGGCGGTGCGGGCCGCGCGCATCACGGAGGTGCGAAGAATGGGGAAAGTGGTCGCTGCGAGCCGGGCAGGTGTCGCAGCCGGCGGTGCAGGAGGGCGCGCGCAGGCGGGTGGGTGCCGGGAGCCGCGGCCAGGTAGCAGTGTTAGGCGGAAGCGAGCGGCGGCGTGGAGGGCAGCGGCGCTGACCATGTTTGCGGGCTGCAGGGACCGAACCGCGGCCGGGGGGGAAGGCGACACAGGCGGGCGGCGGCGCTGAGGGCGGCGGCGCGGACTGGGCGCGACGCGCAGGGGCGAGTAACGTGTGGCAGGACGAGGGGGCAAGGGGCGACAAAGACCGGAGAGAAGACGGGAGAGTTAGCGCAGAGGGAGGGGGAGCAGCGGGGCGGGGAACGACAGCGTGTGCAGAACGAGGAGCGGAGGAGGAAGGGACTTGGCTTGGCGCGCGAAGCGCGCACGGAGCCTACTTGTATCAACTAAAGTTAGGGTCTGTGCCACGTAGACACCCATAGGCATTTTATTTATCCGTTCTATGCGACCTGCCAAAAAAGACACAGAAATCTTGGCCACTCCTGTGATTGGGGAGATGTGTCTGTCGGGGTAGGATTTGGATGGCGTGCGAGCAGGTGTTGCCGCGGCTGCATTTGGCGAGATCGGAAACCAAGCTCTTGCCGGATGCGAGCCTTCAAAGTCGCACAGTGTAGGTACTCCACGATGCGAGCAATTTTGCGTACTGCGCGATGAAAGTTGAGAAACAAAAGGTGGGTGCCTCTTGAAGACTAAAGACCCAGAGGATCAACCGCCAGTCGCAGTGGCGAGGGACACGTACAGTATCAAACGGTATCATTCAGTACTGCTCTGCATACCGCACTGAACATGTCCTGCAACCTTGGTGCAGTACGACACATTACATGCGCAATACATTTCGGTCTGTTGCAGGTACCACCTGCTGGCGAGATCTACACAACAATCAGATACTTTATCAGCTCTATTTTGGAGAACAGCACCGGAATCAACGAACACCCCCAACGGAAGTAGTCTAAAATGCACTACAGTCGTAACAGCCAGCCACTCAGACTCTCAGGCAACAACCAAAGAGCGACTTCCTCCCCTTGTCCTCGTCCGTACTCTTCCTTTCCGCCATTCTCCTCAGCCCGTTCTATATGAACGTCTTGCTCTTCTCCTCCCTACTGCATTCCTGCGACGTCCTTTCAATCTCCCTCTTTCTTCCTTTCTCCTATCCCAATGGGCGTCTGACTTGCCACATTCCTCTACTGTGCCCGAATTACGACTGATCGCCTGGTACACGAGCGCTACGAATCGTCATGCGATGACGACAGCTCGCCAAACGCCCTTTCGTCCCTACAAATACAATACAGTGTCCGATATCCTAGTGAACTCTTCTAGAATGCGGACGTGGCTCTTCACTGCACAAGCGTACGACACCTAATTCCCCCGATTCGGATTGCTCCCGGTTACAGGTATGACACGTACAACACACATGTCGTCGTCTGTAACAGGCCGCAACGGAATTAATACCTGGTTAAGTATGACTCAGTCCGATCCTAGACTTCGAATTAATTAAGAGGGGGACCTGCTTAAATTTTGCTGAAAAATAGGTACGGATACAGTACCCTCGGGTAGTCCAAAGCGGCCGGCGCTGAACGTGCATCTGCAGTTTGGACGAGCTGTTTACAACGGCATATTGTGGTTTCAGACAAGGCATGGCCACAGATAGGGCAGTGCCAATAGGGCACCTCGTCGTCGCAAGGAAATAAATCCGCCGTCGCCCCCCATCACCTCCACGGGTCGGGGGCATCGGTTCAGTTCTTCATCACACATATCATTCAAGAGACAGTAGCGAGGGTACGCAGCACCTAACCACACCCAGGCTAGAGCAACGCACACGGCTACGCCCAGCCCAGCAGGTGGCAAGCTCAAGTTCAACACGAACCGTGCGGGAAGACAACTTTAGGCACGAGCACCAGTTGAGCCTACCATTCAAGGGGCAGTGGCGAAGGAACGCGGCGTCGGACTACACCCAGGTCGGAGCAGCGCGTACGGCTACGCCCAGGTCAGTGGCCCAGCGGAGGGACATAGAGCAGAAGGTCGGTAAGTCCGAGTCGATCCACGAAGCGTGCGGGAAGACAACTTTAGGTACAAGCACCACTCCGACTTACTCAGACCGAAACGCCAGAGCAGGAGGACCCCGCGATCATTCCCGGCCAGGGAAGGTGATAAGCTCACGCGCGTTGGGAAGCGGGTGGGAAAGCGTGTCCAACACTAACACAGCTTGGACTCGGCGCAGCGTGAGCATTCTACGAGGAAGTACGCGACGCCCTACTATTCTTTCACCCTATACATCGCGCGCAGTTACACGCGTCCCCGTTGCATAACACAGGGATATACCGCAGAGGGCGGGCAGTACTAAGCCAGCTGCTGGGCATCCGAGGAGACACTTTTCTAGGTACGAGTGCGACCGAGGCATATTCTATTGAGCTGAGGAAGTGCAGCAGGCGTTGGACAACCTCGTTTGACAGGGGTGTGCGCCGCCGAGCGTAGCTAGGCATTGAGGCCCAAAACTAGCTTTGTAGGGGGGGCACGGCTACTCCTCACGCAACTTAGACAGGGGGACGATATGAGCGGTAGCCGGCCGAGGAAGTGTACCTTCGTCTCAGCCACCAGCAGTGGCCGGACAACCCGCTGCAGGCGGGACATATACTGCAATACGTACCTCAGATGTTATACGCACTGCCAGTGCCGGGGTAGCGAGGTCGGCCGCCCACCTCGCACCCTATATCACGGGAGGGCGTTGTCAGAGGGGGTCACGTACATGACGAGTGGCATTAAGGAAACCCGCGAGACGGCAACCCACCCAGATGTGTCTATTTGCGAGGGAGCGAGCTATAAAAGCGGAGGAGTATGGGAACTTGGAATACGAGACGTGCCCCACCGGCGAAGGGACTCAGGTTACGGCAGGTCCGACAGTTCTGAAAGCAGTACTGGGTCGTCGCCCTCATACACCAGAGAGATCGACTGCTCAGCGGCCTGCGCGCTAGGAAGGGAGCGAAAGCGTTACGGGAGGGCGCTAGACGCGAACGTGTCTATCGTAACGCCCAGTGTATATGACGGTGCGCCCCTCGGGAGCACAGGGAATAGGATGCCATCCCGCTCGGAGGAGGTTCGATGCGCCTTCGCTCTGTGGGAAACTGCAGATTTGGCTTTTGCGACCGCGCCCGGGCCTTGGGACGGGTCGGGGGGGTCGTGGAGGTTCTCACTCAAGGGAGGGAAGATATTCCTCTGGTCCAGAGGGACTTGTGTACAGGTCCGCAGGGTCTCCGACATTTACCATTCGCCGTGGTACCGAGCATCAGGGCGCAGCAGGTTGACGTTAGCGGCCAGAGCAAAAGCTGTAGCGGAGGGCCTGGTGTCACTAGCGAATGCTGGCACCGTCAGGATAGTGAAAGACTTCAGGGGTGCGAAGTTCAGCGTGCTGTTCGACGCCCCTCTTCCGGTGACGAGCAAGGGTAAGACTCCCTGGGCCAAGGTCGTAAGGCCAGGCACGAGTTGGTGGTTAGACTGCTGTGTGGCCACAGACGACGACATGGGTCCATCACACATCGACGAGGAGATGCTGGTCCCACACTGTGTAGACTGGGTAGGCTCTGGATGCAGCACTGGCGATATGCCCACCACGGTTAGCGGCAGCTACCACTTCAGAGAGCGCATTAGCGACGACGACTGGGTCGCGGCCAAGGTTCTTAATGCCAATGAGGTAGAGTGCATAGGTGTCCCGGTATATGTCATGAGGTCAGACCTGTTCTACACGGGCAAGCGACGGATTTGCGTGCTAGAGCATGACGTGGCGTTCGACATAGCGCACGGAGCGAAGTACTTGGTCGTGGGACAGAATAGAGGGATATTCTTCTTAGAAGAAAATCTGGAGGACCCGAGGTTGCTTTTCAAGCCACTGATCAGCACCCACCTGCGTGCGGATGGGAGAACAATGGTGTGCCACAACGACTTATCGGTGCGTATGAATAGGTTACTGTGGCAGCACGTGAGTAGTCAAGGTGGCAAGGCCACGCTAGACATATGCGAGGCGGCAGGCAGTCTAGGTGTGGACGTGGGCGCCGCGGTGATTGCACTAAGCTCAGGCAACTACACCTCACCCATAGCAGTTGAGCAACAGCGTGCGTTCGACATGATGTTCAGAGACGACGGTCCAGGCCCACTGTTGCATGTATCTGTCCGGACAGCTGACTTGATATGCAGGACTTCCATGCCCCTCAGTGGTGAACGTATGCAGTCGATAAAGAGCGGGGAGGTTGCAGTCTTCGAAAGCACAGAGGACGGTGTCTGGACGGGGATAGGTCCTCCAATTGATCCTCTCCGTGAGAGGGGCGACTCCGGTGGGGGGCTGGCTGGTACAGCACTACATGCAGACTTACCTGTCGTCACTCCTGTGCTTGGGCTGGATGCCCGAGTGCGGATATAACCTCCTTGCTAGTAGAACTGTAGTGTTGCGGTAATAAAACGGCGAGGCACCGAGCGAGCTTCAAACCCACCAGATAGTGATGGGGACATCACGGTGCTCTCCATGTCCGTGAGCCCAGAGGCTGCAGAGACGGCAGAGCCGGAGGGAGAGCCCTCGGAATGGCCCGAGCCTTCCAGCGCCAATAGCGGGGAGGAGGAGAACGAGGTGTGCGTGGACGCGGAGGTGCTCGCTCATCTACCAGGGCGAGACTCGGTGTTTTCCACGGATCGCGTCGCGCGCGTCCTTTGCGATACCAACGGCGGCTGCGCGACGAGGGGCATATTGTCGTGTGGCGCGGCGTGCCCATGATGATGCGCTCTACGAGCGTGCGATTGAGAAGGCGATGATGGCAACGCTATGCACAAGGCAGTGCTCGTGATGGATGGAGGGGACGAGGTTGAGCAGAATGTACCCTTAGGTAACTCGAGCCGCAAAATTGTTTCAGCGAGCGATTGAGGAGCACGATGATGTCGGGTTGACGGTGGGTCCATATCCGCCCAATGATAGATCGCGGATCGATGTCGAGATGTCAGACGTGGATCCGGTGTGACAAATTTGGCACATTTGGCCCGTGCTTTGGTATAATTTGTACAGAGCCAACCGAGCCTCCCCCCTTGGCCATATCCCTAATGCCTGTTATGTGCGAAAATCGCACTTAACAACAAAATTGGGACATGACCGTTTCGCCCCTATGTGCGAAAAAGTGGCCCATAGAGCCGTTACGAGGGCTAACTTGGCATCGCTCTGACTCAAAAACGGCTCTGTCAGATCCAGTTGTGCGGCGACACTTTGCCTCGGGCGCCTTTTTCAGTTGCTCATGGCTTTCCACTTTGGCAATTGGACAAAAATTGGGCGACAAAGATGCCTCACAGTGCCGTCTCCCCAATGGCTTCTCCAGGGCATTCGAACACGACTCTTCCCGCCCTTGTCTCCACGATGACCACTCCTGGCAGCCCAGTGGGCGAAGACGGTGCTCTTTTGGCGCGAACATTGGGTGGGGAACACGTTGGAATCTCAGGAGCAAATTTAGTGGAGGAAAATGACAGTCCCAATGGGACACAAAGCTTGCCTCCGCAACGATCAAGAGGGAGGGGTAGAGGTGCAACTGGACAGGCAAGAGGTGTGACTGGACGGGCAAGAGGTGCGACTGGACGGACAAGAGGTGCGACTGAACGGGCAAGGGGTGTGACTGGACGGGCAAGGGGTACGACTGGACGGGCAGGGGGTGCGACTGGACGTGGTAGGGCTAGGGGAAGAGGAAGAGGGCGTGGGAGATCGAGGTCACGGCGTGTGGTTGATGACGCAAGTGAGGGTTGGACAATGAATGTTACAGAGTGTAACAGCGTCATGATGGAAACAGAGTTCTTCCACACAATTATACAGCATCAGGCTAGACTCTTATGCAAAGCTGCTGTGACGAACATGAAGCTCGAAACGGATGCTAAAGGCCTAACTCAGACCAGATGTAGCTTTGTCGTGTTGCTCATGAACGAACTGCTTTGTAAGTTGCTAGGGTGGCTAAATGATTATGCCAGAATCCAAACGGCGGCTGGAAAATGCTCGTTAGCACCGTTCACTCTCTCCGACATGTATCGTTACGTGTCTGTTTTGTTACTTTCGCACACCGGAAACTACAGCTTTGAGAAAGCAATCTCTCTGTTGCGCCAAGCTGGCAGTATCCCTCCCTCTCTCAATCGCATTCGATACATTGCGTCGAACATACTGGCGTATCGTCCAACAGGAAGGGGTGCTGAGGGTCAAAGCACATGGTCTGCACAACGTGATCTAACGCAGAACTTGACGGAGTTCGAAGCAATCGCATTTGCGGAAACTCGAAACGTATTTTTAGTTCCTCTACACCTCACGGCAACTCTGGATGACGATCTTTTTGGCACCCGCGCCGTGGACAATCAAGTAAAGATGCTGAGCTCTCGAAAGGCAGACAGGGAAGGACATTCTGCTGACGCTGCAGCAGATGCCCTGTTTCGCGTAATTCTCGCCCTTCGTTTCAGAGGGAGGGGGGAGACGCAGTCTGATTCGGTACGAAAGCTCTTGGTGACTCTGTTGGACGGCAGAGGTGAGGAGTCGTTGACGGAGTGTATCATTACGGCTGACCGGGGTTACGGAAAGGAGGCGTTTATGAGAATAATGATGGAGTTCGCCCTTTGTTCGGTTTTCGTGATGCCCGATAACACCTTGCGATGCCACCCGTTTGTGGCAAAGTCATACCTCACTCCGTACCGAGAGGATCTCGAGCAAGAGGTAGCGATAGAGATTGATCACTCCACCATCGAAGGTGGATTAGATGGCGAAAATGGGATGATCCGGAATTCTGGTGCCGACATACAGGCCAGCACGAACAGCACCGCAGACGCTGCCGCCGCAGTTCTCATGCGTACTGCACCTGTCATTGGTAATGCACCGTCAGAAGAGGGCAGCAATGCCCCAAGTAATGGACAGGAAGAGGATTCTGGAGAGTGGCGGAACGCTGAGGTCACTGCGTATGATCGAAGGCAGGAGTTCATCGTAGATGACAATCCCGAAATGGGTCCGGAAGTTTTCTTCGCTTCAAAGTCCATAACGGGTATCGGAAGACGGAATGGGAACAGCCACGCAACTGCTGTGGCTGTGCGGGAGCATGGAACTGCGAAGTTCGCCAAGATACTTCGCTTCATGTACACTGTGCCACCGGCTTTGCAGGATAGTCTCAACACTTGGATCGCTGTGCCAAAATCAAACATCAGACTGTCAAATCCCCTTTTTACCGGTGCTGAGCAGGCTGAAGAAGCGACTCAGAAAATGAGAACGGTGGCGGAGGATCACATAGGTGGTGTGTGCGAGGTTCTGACATTGGGGCAGCGTTGCGCGGACTGGTTTGTGCTGCGACAATTCAGATTAACAGGCACTAACGCCGGCCAATTGCTGATGTCATGCGAGGCGGTTAGGAACAATCTCGGATTGCAGGATGTGACAGGGGGTGATGAAACGACATTGGGGGAGTGGTTTCGTTTGTTGCACGACGGTTGGTGCAGTTCAAAGGTCTCAACTGAAGCCATGAAGCGGGGTACAATCAATGAGCCTGCGGTTATTAGCGCACTAGAGGGAAAAGAGGAAGTGAAGGCTATTTTTGATGTTGGAATGCTCGCCATGAAAGACGCCCGATACATAGCATGCTCTCCAGACGGGGTCGCTCTTATAGACATAGCTTCCTTTGAGAAGTGGGATGATGTTGCCTCTACAGAGGGGATTGAAGGTCAGAAAATCGTATTAGCTACAGTGGAAATCAAGACAAAGGTGGCTGCAACCACTTTAGGCGCAGCTGTGCAGTTGGCGTCGCCTGACATCGTCAGGTGCAAGGTTGGTGACGACACGTTTAAGAAGTACATCCCGCGTGCACACATGGGACAAATAATTCACCAATCTCTGGTTCTAGATGTGGAGTTTTGCATTTACGTCGCTGCTGGGGAAACGGGAGTGCTCTATGTTGTAGTCATAAGAATACCTTGGACAGCACGTGGCCTCTTTCAAAGGTCAATTATTGCTCTCGGTAAGCCTCTGGTTTAATGGGCTTTCAGCAATGACACGCAAGCACCTCCTTTCGTACAAGTGGCAGACCAGGTGACGCTACAGACGAGACGAAAGTTTTGGCAAATCATTGACAACCACGTCCAGACAAATGGCTGTTTCATACCATTGAAGTTGTTTAAGCACGCCGCACAGAGCTTTTATTCTAAAACCAAAGCGGGAGTAGACGGAGCGACCCAGCAACGCGCCATCATGCGCAGTTCAACATCTCATTTTAAGTGGGAGCAGAAAATCGTTTCGCAAATCATAAAATCGATTGCGGTGAACGCTTTTGTCGCTTGGCGAATGTTTCAAAGGCAGGATCTACTGGAGTCTGATGCGAAGTTCAAGTCTATTGAGAAATACCGCAACTCACTGAACAAAGTTCAGGCTACTAGTGATTTCATGATTGACGTCGCCCAAGAAATGCTCAGCTATGCAGCGAGTATCCAGTTGCAAGCTGGAACTGATAATGGGACGGAAACGAGACAAGAGACAAGCACGCAGGAATCTAAAAGGCCTATAAGCCTGGAACATTCTAAAAAGCGCAACAGGCTCGCGTTTTTTAATTCTACCGATGGCATTGCGGTGCGTCTTTTAGTGCGGGGACATCATGTTGGACAGGGATTGCTACAGTATTGCGCTTTATGTGGTCAGCACACCATGGGATATCGGGGCCATCGTACCACTTTCAGATGTGACATCTGCTCTGTACATCTCTGTCTGAGAGTACCACGAGGGTTCAGGAAAAGCTGTTCGCAAATTTGGCACAGCTCAAAGCACTTAGAGGTGCGAAGGATTCCAGCAAGAACTTCATCACGTAGCAGGCAGGGGAATAGCGAGGCGGAGAGTTCTTCAGCTAATCAAGGAAGCGGTTCAATCCACAAAAGTTTTATTGAAGGACAGGATAGTGGCGAGGAAGAATTTGTCAACAATGAAGAAGAAATCATCCCTCAGGCAAGGATGCAGGAAGCCGAAAGTGTTCCGCCATCCCGAACTACACGGTCTAATACTAGACTGGCATCAACTCGCGGAATTTCCGAACAAGCAGAGAGAACCTCGGAGCAAAGATCCAAAAGAAGGAAGCGCACATAAGAGCGTGTTAACAAATTAGGGAAGGTGTCACAAAGCCAGCCCTTTGAGTAAACAGGGCCCAGTTATGTGCGTTGTTTCGCACATAAGACCCTTTTTAGGTTGCCTAACCCAACCTCCTAGACCTCGACTTTGACGTTCTGTCTCTCCGGGGCTATTTACGGTACCGCCCGCAAAAGTAGTAGAGGAAAGCAGCTACACGTCCACAATGGCTCTATGTTCTCATTTTTCTAGGTTCTTTCATGGTCACTTAGTTATGGGCCGTCAAAGTTAATGTTCGGTTTTTCGCACATTAAAATCTAGCATTAGGGTTATTTAATTAGAGTACAGTGTTCCCCCGCTTTATGCAGACCCCCCTGTCCGCATATCCTCGAAAGTTGCATACAAATGTCATTTACCATGAAAAAAGG